CTCTTGAGGCCAGTTGAAGACGGTCCCTTACAGTTTCCCAAGTTAGGTTAATGATGTGAAATGCTCCTGCCCTGACTTCTTTCCCTTTCCTCACCCCTGCTGAAAGCAATTGCTGGTTTTCCCCCCAATTCTTTTCCAAGTAGGTTTTGTTTGCCCTGCTCCCCAAATCCCTGAGCAAGAAGTGGGGTGCCTACACTCCTACACCCTGAGTATCCAGCCTTCCCCCTGTTGAGTTTTTAGTCTCTTGTGCTGTGCCTAGTGGCCCCTGGGCTGAGAAAAACACTGTCTCTGTCCAGGTTTTTATAAATGTCTTACTCAAGTTCAAACCTCCAGTTTGTGAATCAACTGTGTCTCTTTTTTTGACTTGGGTAAGCAAGTATTAGGCTTTAGGGGTGGGGGAGGGAGGCCTGTAACGTGAAACAACTTTTTGTCTTTCCCCTCTTCTTGTTGTAAATAACTTTTAATGGTCAAACCCCAGATTTGTATTTTTTTTTCTAACTGCTAAAACCATTCTCTTTCATCTGGTTTTACTGTAACATTTGGAAAAGGAGTAAATGTTGTCCCTTTAAAAAAAATAATTCCTCTGAATTGTAGAAGAAAGGAGTTACCGGGACAACTGATAAGACACGTAGAGGATTATGAATCAGACTTGGCTGCTGCTTCTCCTGCTTCATCAGAGGCTGGTCGCTCTTCTTTTTTAATGTCTTCATTTTCTGCAGGTAGATCTTCTTTAGTTTCTTGGTTAGACACTTCAGCCTGTTTTCCTTTTGCTCCCCTTTCCCCTTTTGTTTGCGCTTTTTTTGGTCAGAAGATTTCTCCTTTTCTGCTGTCTTTTTGGACTTCCCTTCTTCCACTTTTGCAGGCAGCTTCGCTGACAGCCTCGCTGCTCCTTCACTGCCCCTTGGCGGCCCTTCCCCTTAGGCAAGTTGGCGGCAGGGACCACATGGCTCACACAGAGCCTTCGTGAAGTTGGGATGCTCTGGCATGGCCTCTCAGCCTGCCCCGAGCTGTTGAGACCCGAGGCGGGGGCCCACTCTTCAATAATTTTGAGAGGTCCCTGACTGCAGTCTTTCCCAGTGCATTATGTCTCCTGATCTCCTGTCTGCTAGTTCCAAGTGTAGTGATAATAGATCCAAGTAAGATACAGTCATTGACAGTCTGGGTCTTTTCTCCACCTATCAGGGTGTTGCCTATCAATCCAGTGGTGAGGATTTTTGTTTTCTTAACTTTGAGACGCAATCCATATTGAAGGCTGTATGTAGTCTTTGAACTTCTGCAGCAAGTGCTTCAAGTCCTCCTCACGTTCAGCTAGCAAGATTGTGTTATCTGTATAACAAAGGTCATTGAAAGACTGATAACACAATTACAAAATAATCAAAAGACGTGGAAAGACTCTACACAGACACATGAAGAAATACTCAAAATCACTGGTGATAAGAGAGATGCAAATCAAAACCACAAAGACAGGTCATCTCACCACAGTAGCAGTGGCAGAGTTTAACAGGACAACAAGTAATAAATGTTGGAGAGGATGTGGAGAGATAAGAACTCTTATACATTGTTGGTGGGATTGTAAAATGGTACAACCACTCTGTAAGGCAGCTTGGCATTTGAAAATAGAAATTGCATGTGACCCAGCTATTCCACTGCTTGGAATATGCCCTGAGAAAATGAGAACTGAGGCAGAAACAAAAATGTGTACACCAATGTTCAAAGCAGCATATTTCACAATTGCATGAAAACAGCTTAAATGTCCAACCACAGTGGAATAGATTGAGTAACACGATGGAATACTATGCAGCATGCAGGAGCAATGATTTTAAAAATTACTGCCTAAGTTGGAAGGGTCTGGAGAGCATTTGGCCAAGTAAACTAACTCAGTTCCATAAGGACAAATATGGTATAAGGTCAATATTATAGAAATAGATAACTAGTAAACCGTGTATGAGGATTCACGGAAGGGCGGGCAGGAGCAGAGGGGTGAAGATGGGTAGGGGGTGATCATAGGGTCATACAATTTGATGGATAGAAGGAGGGGTGGGTAAAGAAAATGGGAAAGATCGGATGTGAAAAACAATGTATATGAAATTTGTAAGTAAACCAGTATAAAATAAATTTTTTTTAAAAAAGGGTATTGATAGGTCTTCCTTCAGTACTGATGCAACATTTCTCTTCATAGGGTCCAGCTTCTGAATAATCAGCTCAGCATACAGATTATTTAGGTATGGAGAAAGGACATAACTCTGATGCACACCTTTCTTAGTTTTAAATTACTCAGTGTTTCCTTGCTCTGTTTGCACAACAGCCTCTTGGTCTACGTTAGTAAATAAAACACAAGTAAATATCTTTCTAGCATTTTTCTCTTTTATGCAAAATTCTTCATGTGCCATCAGCAATGAGATCTCTTATTTCATGCCTTTTCTGAATCCATTTTGAACTTCTGGCTGTTCTCTGTTGAAGTACCGCTCCAGAAATTTTAAAATACTCTTCAGGAAGATTTTACTTGCATGTGATATTACTGGTATTATTTGATAATTCATGCATTCAGTTGGGTTGCTTTTTTTTTTTGAAAGGATATAAATATGGATCTCTTTATTCTTTATAAAGAATGAGGTTTTGGAACATTTAATTATGCTCATGCAGAACCTAGATGCAGACAAAGAAGCAGTCTGACTAGAACAAGGAGATTTTGCATGGTTTAAAAGCAGAAAATATAGATGTCAGGGTTGGGTTCTTATTTATTTATTTATTTATCTATCTATCTATTTATTTATTTTAGGGTTGGGTTCTTTCAGTGCACCTAGTCAGTGTGTATACTTAACAAATAAACTGAGAAACTAGAATATTTTATCATATGGGGAGTGCCCTAGTGTATCCTTCTTGTACAGGCAAAGGAATTATACCCGACGGAAGAGACAGAGGAAGAGAACAGTATTCAAACACCAGCGAAATACGGAGTACAGCAATCATAGTGTTTCTTGGGAGAGCAGACTTTAGTGTCTGGAGCATTAACATGTAGGTGGAAGCTTTTTTATTATTTTTGTGTGCGTGTACCGTCAAATCAGATCTGACTGGTACAGGAGGAGATTGTCCCTCCTTCCCCGGCAGAGCATCTGGTGGATTCGAACCTTGCACCTCTGGGATTGTAATTGCAGCTCCTTGCCACTAGGCCACCAGAGCTCCCCTTAAGTGGAAGATTTTTAATAGAGCACAGAGACGTGAAGAGATGAAGAGGCAGAAACGAGGGTAAGCAGTAATGGTAGATTTATTAGGTTACATCCCCATAAGGAAGGACCTTCCTCCTTAAAAGGAGATAAGGAGGAAATGTCCCTTGCTTGTGAGGTGAAACTCTGTTAACAGCTTATTCTCTGGAAGGACATTACAGCTTGACCCTGAGCCAATGAGACAAGGCTACAGAGAGTTCAGACTGTAGGGGGCAGGTCTCCTTCTGGTCCCTGTTCTCTGATGTTTGATTCAGGCCCAAAAGTGTCCTCTTCTTCTAAACCGTCACTCTCTGAGAGGCCGTTCGGCCTGCCTAGCCACCTGACTGAGGACCACGTCAGCAAGGGCACCACTGCTCCCCACTGGGCTCGAAAGCTTTCCCAGTCCCCACCCTGCAAGACCTGAGCCCCTTCTCTACCACCTGACCTCAGGACCCTGAGGAGGGGGGCCTGCGTGTGCATCCTCTCCACTGGGAGCGCACCCTGGGAGTCACGCACTGCACGGTGATGGGGTGAACTAGGGGGGGCTTGAGTGGAGAATGTGAGCAGAGTGACAACCCAGACCATCTGCAGACAGGACTCGCCAGTATCCTCTTTGTGGACACCCATGCCGGCAGAGGGCTGGCCGTGGAAGGGTCATGGGCTGCCAGGCACCCCCTATTCCAGGGAGCCCGTCCCACCCATACCCTCAGGACTTGGAGGGAGAAGCAGCTTGGCCCCCTTTTGTCTCTGCCCAGCCTGCAGGCCTGCTCCCTAGTCTGTTCCCCCTGGGTACCAAGAGGAACACATGCACTCAGCAAGCACTGCCCTGGGCCTGGGACAGGAGGCCTCTCTGCAGGAGGGGCAGCAACCCCTCCTCTAGCAGAACCCCAGTCCAGTGACTGGGTGTCTTCATGTGCCAGAGACCCTCCCTCCAGGGACAAGCCCACTTGAGGCCAGAACCACCCAGGCCTGAGGGCCTGTACTGTATTCTCAGTGCAGCCTGGCGGGGACAAGGTAGAATGACCCCTCTGCTCAGGACCAGGCTGGAGACTTAGGGCAGGGCCCCTCCTCAGTGATGTCACAACGCACTACACACACGGGCACTTTATTGAAATGGTTTGTTGGCAGATGTGGGTGTGCAAACTGTTGTGGGCAGGACAATGTGTAGAGTGGATAGCCAGGTTGCAGAACCCATGATAGAGGGCCAGAGGACTCAGGCCACAGCAAGGGCAGGAACTAGTAGCCTGGATGGTTCTTAATCATCTCTGCAGCGGCTTGTAAGCTCATCACTGTGCCCGTGGCAATAAGAATGATGAACAGGACGGTCACCAGGAGGCTGAGGACCAGAGCGAAGATGTTCAGGCACTTGGCAGTGGACGCGTAGCTCTGGGCTCCTATCACGTCGCCCACCATCTTCCTGTCCCTGGACTGGAGGAGAAGAGATGATGAGGGGGGCTGGGAGGGGCCTGCTGGGAGCCAGAGTTGGTGGTAGTATTGGGGTCTCTGATCCTCTTTCTAGAGCATACCCTCCACCAAGCTCAGTGGATCTGGAGCCCACAGTTCTCTCTGGCGCTCACGCAGGACAGCTCACTCTCTGAGAGGCCGTTCGGCCTGCCTAGACACCTGACTGAGGACCACGTCAGCAAGGGCCAGGTTTCCTCAGCTCCTCATCTTTAAGGAGCTGCAGATGTCCCTCTGCTGAACTCCCATGTGGCTCCATCCCCACCTCAAGGACCCCACCCACAGGCCCTGAGTGAGAGCACTTTGCTCAACTGGCTGGCGCCTGTTCAAATACTTTCTCCACTAGACTTTGAGGGAGGGAGAATTCTTCAGGGGCCATTCAAACAGTGGATGTACCACACCGGACTGGCTTGTAATGGCCTTTCTAGTTGTGATCTTGCGCCTCCCACCAAGTGTTGGGTGGGATCACACAAATAAGTGCTTGCGGTTGGGGATAGCTAGCTAATAACACAAATCAGGTGCATAGATCTTGTATGGGACTGAAAGAACGCATATATGTCCACCCCTAAGGATGAGGTAGCTCGGAGGCAGAAAGGGCACCTCACAGCCACTGAGAATAACAGACAGATGCAGCTCCCTTTGGAGCCATGAGCTGAGAGCCTCATGGACCAGGAGTCACTGGAAGAAGAGGAAAAGCCATGGCAGAGAAATGGCTGCAGTGGAACCAGAAGACTGAGGAAGTGAAGCAGAGGGCTGAGGCCTCTTGGGAGCAAGGTGGCCAGCACAGAGTGAGGAGCTGAGTGTCTCCAGCTGACGCTTGCTGTTGGAGTGGGGACTCACTTGCATGAGGCTGTTGCAGACCTGACGGATGATGGAAGTGCTGTGCCCCGAGTCTTCCCTGATCCCAAATAGTATCCTGTTCTCCTATTACACCCCGTAACTGTGAATGTGACCTGGGAGTTCTGTGTAGCCATTGCTATAAGTTAGGGAGCCCTGCAGAGAAGCAGAGGGTTTTGTGGGAGGGATGGCTGATGTCAGACCTGGGAAAAAAGGTTGGAAATAGCATGTATGTCTAGCCTGTGCCTCACAGGAATAAAATTTTCTTTCCCTTTAAGAGGTTAAAGATCAGACACCTCACCAAGCCATTCTTACAGCTGGCTACAGTCACCTGCATGCTTCCCCGTTAGGATTATCTCAGACCTATGCTGGGATGGACACCCCACCCCCCAAAATACATACACACACAACCACAGGGACAAGAAAAACATCACAACACACACACACACACACACACACACACACACACACACACACAGACACACAGGAGAGAAACAGCACACATGCACACAGATGCATGGACACACACAAGAACGCTCCTGAGCCCCTTGAGGCAGAAAGCACTACAAGAGCACCCTCACACCCAGGTGGAGCACTCCCCGTGACCCCACACACCCACCTTCACAGAGTAAGCGAATGCCACGAAGCCCAGGCAGCAGCAGTTCATGAAGAGGGTGTTGAAGAGGGACCAGACGACGTGGTCGGGCACAGCGGTGTCCCTGGGGATGGTGATGACAGTGGACGACACGGGTGCAGTGCTGTGGGGCGCCCCCAGGCCAGCCATCCTGTGCTCCTCCTTGACCATCTCCTGGGCTTGGGGAAGGCAGCGCTGTGAGTCTGAAGAAGGGCTGGAAAGAGTGCTTCCTGATGCAGAGCCCGGTTGTTAATGAGATCCAGATGCTGTGGGGATAGCTCCCAGGGCCCTCCCTTTCTGGAATAGTTTGTATTTTTCCAAAGTTTCTATTTCCTGGTGTTTTGTAAGTGGACAAATTGGCCAGGAATTGAGAGGGATGGACATTCAAAGTATTCAGTGACTGGTGGTGGGGAGGAGGCAGAGGGCTAAGGAGGGGGCACTGTGAGGTCAGGGAGCTGCCCAGCTTTCTCCCAGAATCCTCTCAGGGTGTGGTTAGGCCCTGGGCACATTTTGCTTGACTGAGGGTCACCCTCATCTACTTCACCTCTGCCCACCTGTCTAGTGCATGTCCTCACTGTCCCCTCCCATCATCTCTGCCAGGTACTCATGGTCCAGGTGCCTCTGGGAGGTGGACCCCAAAGGGAGATGGATTCATAGAGGGAGGTGGACCTTCACAGGAGAGAGCCCTCAGAGGGAGGTGCAAGCAGAGAGGAAGCTGAGCCCCTGAGGCAGGGGGACCACTCTTGAGACTCCTCCCAAGGCCACACTCTCTGGGCCCAGTTCTCTCCGGCTCTAACCCACTGCCTTTCTCTGGGACTAGAGAGCATGCTCCAGGTGACCTCAGGTTCCTTGAACTCACCGTGGCTCCTGGCTGTAGACACAAGTTTGGCTTCCCCGCAGGAGTCCCCAGGCCCCTTTGCAGGGCCCCCAGGCCAAGGGTATGGGCCCCCATTGAGTAGTGAAGGCTGTGGGAGTTGTCTGAGGGAGTCTTCGGTTGTGTCTGCAGCTCTTGTGACTCCTGTCATTTACACACATTCTGGCAGAGGCTCTGTCTGGCCATTCAGCTGTGCCCTCATTTTCCGGGACAGGATGTGTCAGCTCAAAGGCAGGTCAGCAGCATATGGTCACACACAGGGTCTGAGTGTCTCCCTGCTGTCTATTATGCCCTTTTTTGCATAGAGGTCGTGTGTTGGTGTGTGTGGTGAGGACGTATGGCTCCTCATTGAGGGCACAGGTGAGCCAAGGCTCACAGACACCACATCAGAGGTCTGGGGCTCTGGGCAGGATTGTCCCCAGACTCCCAGGGCCTCACTGCTTCTGTCTCCTGGTGAATCCCCTCCCAGGGCTCCAGCTGCTCTCTGCAGTCACAGTTTCTGTGTTACCTCAGCACTTCCCACTAGTGTTGTTGGTCTCATCCATGTGACCAATCTCTAGTGTGAAACACTCCCTGTTGAAGGCCGTCATGTGCCTTCTGTGCATCTCCTGGACCACTCTGGTGAGGGACTCCTGACAAAGGTGCTCTGGGAGTATGGTATTGCCATGGGGCAGGAGTGGGCAGAGCAGGGAGAACTTGCTGGTCACTCCTTCATGGATGAGGTCAGAGAGGGACAGACAGTGTAGGTGAGTGGGCTGGCAGGTCCCTCATCTCATAGTTTGCGTTTTCTGATATCTGCAAGGCATAATCCTCCAGTGTCCTTCCAAGGTTCCAACGTGATCTCATCACCTGTCTCCTGCAGGGAGGCCTGGTGGTGCAAGTTGTTCACTGTTCTGATAACACCCATGGAAATGCTCCCATCTGCATCAATAACTGTCGTACCGCCAAATGTGGCATTTTGTCTGAGTAGCAGGACTGTGCCTTGATAAAAATGAACTACTGAAACATTTTTTTAATTGAGAGGTGAGGGAAGAGGAACTAATGGCTGTGGGCCCTCATGAACTCTAGCTGTCATCACTTTTATGGAGAAGTTTTTCTTCAAATAAGCAGTAAAATATGTTAGCTGGACTCCAAGATATTTTGTACTCTTTCTTTTCTCATTTGTTGACCATCCTTGTTTCCAAAACTACATCTATCAGAAGGCAGATTCAATGTGGGAATTAAGGGTTTAGTATTCCAGAGCAGGGTATTTGCTGTGTCTTTAACTCAGGCAGTGAATGCTTTGACCAGCTTAACTCCTGTAGCCAAATCTTTACAGAATTATCTATTTTGGGTAAGCATTGCCTTTTTAAATGTAGTTTCTTTAATTGATACCTGTGTGCTTTTGTTTTTAGTTGAGGTAAAATTCACCTAATTGAATTCTTCATTTTAAGCCATTTAATTTGAAATTAAGTGGGTTTTTTAAAAATGTTCATAATATTGTTGCTGCTGTCACCAGTGTTTCAATTCAGAACAGTTTCACACCCCTATATATCACACTCCCTCTGGACTGATCTTCGCTTGTCGATGCAGATGCTCAAAGTTTCCAAGATGGACAGAGGATCCTTCAGCAAAAGCGCATGCTTGTTCCCTCAGAGTACTAGTCAGATGTTGTTATGTGCCATTGAGTTGCCTGTGACTCATAGAGACCCTATGTACAACAGCCCTAAACCCTGCTCTACCCCTTGCCAATCTTATTGTCTCTGACATGCCTATCTCTATTACCCCAGTGACTGAATCAATCCGTCTCATCGAGAGTCTTCCTCTCCTGAGCTCTCCTTCCACCCTCCCAAGCATGACGTCCCTCTTCAAGGACTGATTCCACCTTGCAACATGTCCAAAATATGTCAGACAAAGCTTCAGGATCCTTGCCTCCAGGGAGCAGCCTGCCTTCTTCCTCTGCAGGATGAACTTGTTTGTTCTCCTAGCAGCCCATAGTATTCAATACTCTCCTCCAGCACTCAAAGGCATCAATTCTCCTCCTATCCTCCCTAGTCATTGTCCAGCTCTCTGATGCATAGCAAGTAAGTGCAAAGATCATGGCCTGTATCAGGCACACCTTAGTCTCTAGACTGACAGCGTTGCTCTTCAGTACTTTGGAAAGAGGTCTCTGACAGCAGACTTTCCCAATGCAATTGATCTTTTAATTTCCTGGTACAGAGAATGTTGAACCAAGCAAACTGAAGCTGTCAACAATCTCAATCTCTTCATCATCTATCATGATGCTGCCAATCAGCCCAGTGGTGAGAATCTTTGTTTTCTTGATGTTGAACTTTAATCCATATTATAGGCTGCAGTCCTTGACCTTCTGTAGCAAGCGCTTAAGGTTCTTCTTAGTTTCAGCAAGCAGGATTGTGTCATCTGCATAACGCAGATTGTTGATGAGTTTCCCTACCTCCAATCCTTATGCCATATTTCTCCTCATAGAGCCCAGCCTCCTTGATAATCTGTTTTGCATATAGATTGAAGTGATATGGAGAGAGGACACATCCTTCATGCACACTTGTACCAATTTTGAACCATGCAGGTTTTCCTTGCTCTGTTCTGACGACTGCCTCCTGGGATGGGCAAATCAGAAATTGGCTATCTATAATAGGAATATTAGAGCATGAGGCATGAAGTAGTTGCCTTAAATATATATGCTTTCATTTAAGTAGTTATTAGTAAGATGATTGTAAATCAACGTAATGATTTATATAGCATTATAAACTAATAAAATAGAATGTAAATTAGTGACTTTATAAAACATAATGTATATGAATAATAAAAATATTAATGAAAAATATCACACCCATTTGCATTCACTTCCCGTCTGCTTCTTCCAGTCATTGCCAATGACACACCTGCTTCTCTTTAAATTTCTGTCTTCTGGACAAAAGAAGACAATAGACTTCAGGGCATGTGACTGCAATCAGATGAGAGACTCAGTCCCAGAGCCAGTACATTCAGGTTCTGGGAGGGAAGGGCTGCAAATGCCCTGGGGGGAAACTTCCTCATTTGGGGATCCTGAACACCAAAGAAGATAAAAAAATTTAAAAGAGGGGACTGCAATCACATCAGAGACTCACTCCCACAGCTGGCACATTGAAATGCTAGGGAAGAACTGCCTACACCACCCACCCTCTGGACAGAAACTGGTCTAGTTGGGGAACTTGGCTACTGTGGGGCTACTCTTCAGACAAAAGAGAACAATAGATTTTAGGAGAGGGGGCTGCAATAAGGTGGGATTTTTGCAAAGCTGCACTGTAGACCAGAGAGGACCTGAAGGACTTCAGGAAATGCAAATTCTCCTGCTCCACAGGCCCAGAAAGGACTTCCAGTAGTATGAATTGCCCATCCCTATAGACTGAACACTTTGAGCCTACAACTAACCAGTAACATCATAAGGATAAAGAACTATCAACAGTCTATGCAAACACAATAGAAATAATGTCACACATACCAAGAAAAACTTCACATAATGTCAAGAAATCAACAAAGAGTTTCAAACACTGTCAAAAAACAAATTAAGCCTTCTTCTTCGTCTTTTTCTTCTTTTTAAAAAAAATTGCAGACTCAATGAATACTCCAGACTCAGACATAGAAGTTACTGATGTGAAGTCATATGAACAACTACTGAAGAAGGTACAAATGATGGAAGAAAGAATGGAAGCCAGAAAGAAAGCAAATACTTCAGAGATAGGAGCCAGAAGGAATATATTGGTGTGGAAAAAGTTGAACAGTGATTGAAGAAATTGCAGAAGATGGAAGAATTGAAACCATAGATAAAGAGGTAGAAGCATTTAGAAATTATCACAAGAAAAACAGTACTGTTAATACTATCACATGGAAGTAAAATATTGCTGAAATATATTTTTAAATTTTTTTTTTTATTGGGAAAAATATATTGGGGGTACAAGGAGGTGAGGGTTGGGGGCAGAAGGGTGAGGATGGGCCAGGATGCAGTTCCAGAGCTGCACCATTTGGTCGGTGGGGGGAGCAGGTGAAGGAAATGATGAGGGTCCAGTGGGGACCAGATGCTACAGAGGAATGACAAGCATTTTCCAATAGTAATTAAACCAACT